ACTGTGGCAATTGGACAATTAAAACAGACATACGGATGGCGGGGAAGAAGAACAAACTGGGGAGGAGGGTGGAGAGAATTGTGCGGCAATGAAGGAGTGAAAGCCCAGAATCCCTGTGAATGTTCATTGAAACTAATAAAATTTAATAATAAAAAAAAAAGAAGACTTACCTGTGCTTTCTGCTCTGAGGAGTGAAAGAAGGGCCCCGAGTTGACAGAGTTCTGGATCTTCTTGTCCACTGGGACCTTGGTCATTTTTCACTCTGGGTCTCTGCCCTCTAGAGAAGAGTGGATCCAGCGTCTTCTCAATCTGACGCCTCTGTTATCAGACACTCCAGCAATGTCTCCCACAAAGGTCCTCACTTACTCAGACTCCAAAGTAATTGTTGGCCAAGGAGCACTAGGAGAACAAAAAGGCATCAGGATCCAACACAAACCAGAAACGGAAGTCCAGGCAAGGTGGAATCAAGGAGGCCAACAGTGAAAAACTTTAGAAACAGGACATTTTATATGCTTTCCTCCAGTTTAAATGGAGGTATCTTCCCTTCTTATAAAATAGGAACTAAAAAAATAACGCCCTTCTGATAACTTGTGAAGGTCAGCTCATGGAGGGGCCCACAGACCCCCATCTTCCCTGCAGTCCCAAGAAAACTGGACTGAGGCAGCCCCGCTATGGGGCTCATCGGGCCACCAGGAGGAAAAACGGCCGGTTAACTGAGAGGCCGTGGCCAACGGTTGCCCGGCAACGGGACGCTCTGGCGGGCTTTCTCATTGGTTGGAATTGTTGGGGGCGGAGTCGTGAACTAACCTTGCAAAGAGGCTGGGAGGCGGCAGCCAGGAGAGCAGGGTTGTCCAGACTCATTAACTCCCAGATCTCAAGACCCTGATAGTTTCTTTCCACTCAAACACCATCTCCTGGTATAGCGTGTTCCCTCCTGCTGATCCTTCATGACTTCTAGAGTTTTGGGTTCACAGCTTGATGTCTGTGAACATCAAGCTCACCTTCCTAAGTCATCTTCCCAAAATGTAGCTATCTTTTTTTTTCTGTCTATGTGTGACATTTATTGAGTATTGAGTGCTTAAAATGACTTAGGCGCTGTTCTAAGCATTTTATGTTAGCTGGACCCGCTCAGCCTGCCTTTTAATAATGGACTCTTACCACCCTATTTTAAGGAGCTCACGTGGCTTTGTGGTAAGGAATTGTGCTACCAAACCAAAGGAGCGGGGTTCAAATCCACCCGCATCTCCTCTGGAGAAAGATTGGCGTCCCTTCCTGTGTGTTTTACTGCCTCTGAAAACCTGCTAGATAGTAAGCTCTGAGGCAATTCTGACTCCCTGGTACTTAACAGCAACATTGCCCTATTTTACAGACTAGGAAAACTGAGGCAGAGACACGTTAGATGGCATTGCTTAAGGTCACACTGCAGACACCTGAGCGGGAACACAAATCCAGAGAATCTGAGTCTAAAGCCCAAGATCTTTGCTGAGAATGTCTATAGTTAATGGACCTTGGCTTCCAGATCTTCCCAGAGGGGCTTAATAATGTTATTACAGTTTGTCAAGGATTAAAGCAGATAATATATATGAGCAGAGGGGAGTCCCAGTCGCCTTTTGTTACTGCTATGTGCCATTGAGTCAGAACTGACTGATGATAGGTGACCCTACAGTAGGTTTTCAGACTCAGTAAATCACGCCCATCCTTTCCTGAGGAGCAGCTGGTGGACTTGAACTGCCTGCCTTTGAGCTGACAATGCAACTCCTTACTGCTAAGTCGCCAGAGCTCCCTACTGATTACATAGTAGCTCTGATTACAGGTTTTTTAGTCTCCTCCCCTAGAAGAATTAGTCACACTGCCGACACAGTAGTCATCTGACAGCCAATATTAATATTAACTGATAAGTATTGATCGCTGGCTCTGTGCCAGACACTCTACCAAGCACTTTATTACTCTAATTCATTTAATCCTTTCAATGACCTTATGAGGTGTGTTCTCAGCCTGCCTTGGATGCTTGGCACGTGTTGTGATTTGTAAGCCTTACCTTGGCCTTGTTTCCCCCCTCCTCAACTTGATTCATGCTTGAGTCCTAAATCTAGAACTCCTGGGGATTATGATGTCATCGTGGCCACATCATGACCTCACCCTCTGTTCAGGAGGTGTTCACTGCAGGAAGACACCCCGCAGCTTACAAAATGCCTCCCAAGTCCAGTGCCTGGAAGTCACTATTTGCTCACCATTGTCTTAAGCCTGAGCCCGACTGTCCCTTTCAGGGAAATTTCGGTTCTCCAGCTTCCTTTGTGGGCTGCATCAAACTATTAGCTAGCACTTTCCGAAGGATGCAGCTAAACAGAAGCACATTCAGAGGATGGGGCCAGGGATGAGTCGGAGGAGAAAATATGACAGGATGGGGGATATTCGGACCTGAGCACAACAAATGGCTGCCCTTCTTGTAGGGACAGGCTGGTGATGAAGGGTTCATCTGATTCTGTGTGAGCCCAGGGAATAGGAGGAGGATGTGGGTGCCATATGAGGAAACATTTGCTCAGTGGAGCATGGTGTTAAAGAGGCCTTGGCTCTAGAATCAGACTGTCTTGGTCATGGGCAACCTCACTGAGAAGCACTGTCATAGGACACCGATGAGAATGAATTGGAGTGATGCATCCAGAGCACTTCAGTAGCCCAGAAGACATACTTCCTAAATGGTAGATCCTATTATTTTTGCTCAGAGCCAGATGAGACCTGGGCATGGTGAGGATACTGGACTAAAGCAGACCTGTGATCTAATCCTGGGTCTACATTTACTAGCCATGAACCCGTGGTCAAGTGATGTCACCTCATTGAGCCCCAGTGTCATCATTCATAAAAATGGCCATGGTTATGCCCAGCTTGCACGGTTGGGAAGACCTGAGAGAGATGGTGAGTATATAAAGTTTAGTGCTTACTGGGGGCTCAATGAGTGGTGGTTCCCTTATGTGTTGATGTTGTGTTTGTTGTTGTTAGGACCTTTCTAATTTATTCCGACTCTTAGAAGTCCTCCATGCAGCCAAATGAAATCCCACGTGGTCCTCCTGGGCCTTTCTCACTAAGGTTGCTTTGTCTGAGCCCTTTGTTTGCTGCTGTCCCCACGTTGACCCATCTCACCGAGGGTCCTACCTCTTGCTCACTGACCCTCTACTTTGCCAAGCGTGGTGTCCTTTTCCGTGAGCTGGCCCCTCGTGATACCATGCCCAAAGTATGTGACACACATTTTTGCCATCCTTGCTTCTAAGAGGTATTCTGATTATAATTCTCATAAGAAATATTTGTTGTTCTTCTCACAGTCCATGGTACATTCAGCATGCTTTGCCACCATTGTAATTCAAAGAAGCATTATCACTTTTTCTAAGGAGCTCTGGTGGCCTAATAGGGAAAGACTTGTGTTGTCAACTCAAAGACAGGTGGTTGAATCCACCAGTTACTCTGAGGTAGAAAGGTGAGCAGTCTTCTCCCCTGTGATTTACAGCCTCTGAAAACCCACTGGCTTGTCAGCTATGAGTCACTTCTAACTCGGCACATAACAACAACAACAACAACAACAACGATGCTCCTCAGTCCTCCTCAGTCATTGTCCAGATTTCCTATGCATATGAGGTGACTGAACGTACCTTTGGGCTTGAGTCGGATGCAGTCAAGTCCTCATGCTCACATTATGCTTTCAAATCCTTTAAAGAGGGTTTTTGCAGCAAATTGATCCAATGCAATATGTCCATCAGTTTCTTGCCTGCTGCTTCTATGGGCATTGATTGTAGGTTCAAGTAAACGAAACCGTGGCAACCTCAGAGGGAGGATATCTCTTCATATCAAAGTGATACTGGAGTCTGTAGTCTCAGGTCTTCATCAGTATGTGCTTCAAGTGCTTTCATTTTCAGCAAAGTTGTGTTAACCTCTATGTGCCTGGATGAGAATGAGTCTTCCTCCCATCCTGATGTTGACTCCTTCTTCATAGAGTCCAGTTCCTCAGTTATTTGTTCCTCATACAGATTAAATAATTATTGTGAAAGGATACATCCTGGCACACACCTTTCCTTGCTGAATCCCCATGTTCTAATAAAACAGTTACTTCTTGGTCTATGTACTAGGGATCATGCTCATGTATCCTAGAATTCCCATTCTTTGCAATGTTATTAATAATTTGTCATGTGATTGAATGCATTTTCATAGTCAATAAAACACAAGTACATGTCTTTCTGATACTCTCTGCTTTCAGCCAAAAGTCATCTGACATCAACAATGATATCCACTTTTTACTCTAGCTTGAATTTCTGTCAGTACTCTGTCAGTGTGCTGCTGCCACCATTTTCGCCATTATCATCAGCATAATTTTATTTACATATGACATCGATGGTGTTGTTGAATAATTTTTACCTTCTACTGGTTCATCCTAGAGATAATGAGACCAGGCTTCTCCTAGGAGGCAAGGATTATTCTGAAGCTTTGTCTGACATACTTTGGACATGTTGCAAGGCGGAGCCAGCCAGTCCTTGGAGAGAGACGTTATGCTTGGGAGGGTGGAGGGACAGCACAAGAGAGGAAGACCCTCGATGAGATGGATTGATTCGGTGACTGGGGTAACGGGGATATTTGTGTCAGACATTAAGATTGGCACAGGATAGAGCAGGGTTTACTGCTCTTGTATAAAGGGTCGCTATGATGACTTGATGACAGGTGACTTGATGGCACTTAACAACAACAACATTGGATCATCATCTTTCTTCGAGATGGGGTATTTATTTGGATCTCTTCCTATCAGTTGGTCAGGTAACTTCTAAATTTCTGGGCATAATTGAGGGAGCACTTCCAGGTTTGGATCTATTTGTTAAGACATCTAAATTGACATTCCATTAATCCCTGGAGTCTTGTTTTTCTACTTATCTCCTCAGTGCAGCTTGAACTTTCAGTACCATCAACTCTTAATCATATGCTACTTCCTGAAATAATTGAACACCAGCCACTTCCCCCGCCATATACTGATTTTGTGTATTCCTTCTACCTTCTTTTGATGTCTCCTGCTCCATTCACCATTTCACTCATAGAATTGTTGAGCACTGCAACCCGAGGCTTGACTTCTTTCTTCACTTCTTCTCAACTTGAGTGACGAAAGACGTTTTCTTCACTTTTGGTTTTCAGAGGCCAGATAGCCTCACATTTTTTAATAATGCTTTACTTCTGTTCAGATCCTTGACATCATCATTTCTTCCCTTCACATTAGCTACTCTAC